TGACAAGAGGGGCCGTTTAATGACTTGTTAGTGCCTCCACCAGGATTCCTTCACTGTGAGTTTGGAAATGACCTGCAGACGGCTTCACACGCCGTCTTTGTAGGCAAATGAACCCATGTTGTTTTTACGCGCGTAGACATGTCTTGTCTGAACCAGCTCAAATACCTCCTCGGGTACGTTTATTTAAACTCGTGCCAGAAGAGTGCAAACAGCACTGAATAGACGAGGAATGAAAGTATTTGTCGTTACTCTGCAGCATTCCTTTGACAAAAGAGAGATTAGCTCAACATACAGAGAGGCATTTGGAAGCAGCCCTCTGGCAAAGAGTTTTGTCAACATTTTGGTGCTCCTGTATCACTTCTTCACTCATTCACTCATTCTCTGCTTGCTCTCGCTGCTACACGTAGTACGTTCAGTACACTTTAAATGTAGGCAGGTGAGGCAGAAGGCGGCATGCGTCGAAGACATGGCTGATCACCATCAACATAATCTCCTGACGGAGTAATTGTGGGAAGCTTTCATGCCTTTTGAGTTCGTCTGCTCTCACTGGCCATCTGTTTTGTGCACGTCCGCCTCCTACCTGCTAGCCCAATGAACTATTACTTTCATTTAAGTAAAGTAGGGAGAGGAACAACTGTACTACAGCCTCTTGAAGTAAAGTTAAAATCAAAATGTGGCTGTTAGGTGTGGAGAGAAAAGGACAAATCTGAAGCTGTAATGTAGTCCTCCAGGCATTAAAAAGTGATTAAATGGTAAGACAACACTGATATAGTTTGAGTCTAGCCGTGGTTTTAAGTGTGAGATTTATGTCCACGTGCACGGTGCTAATTGCCACGCATGTCGACGCGTCACTCGCTCGCTGCAGTTTATAAAATCAGAATCATCCCATCATCACAACTTCCACACGTCTCTGTTCGTACACTTCTCTTCATGCTGCAAACCTGCCAAATTCGTGCACACTTGTGTCTCGCCATGAACTTTGTGTGACAGAAAAAGAAATGCACACCGGCTACCTCCACTCTTGCCATGGCAACGGACGCGACAAGAAAAGCGATCCTGTACCTGTGTATCTGTCTCCCTAATGGTCTGTGTGTTAGTGTAACAAGATCTGTAAAAACTCCCCTCAATGACATTTTAGATCCCCCACTGTAACTGACCTGGGCTGGGGAGTCACAAGTAGGATTTAGGTGAGTACTCAGGCTTCTCTCAGGTTCCTGTTCCCCTTTTCCTAATGAATTCAGCCATGAGAAAGCCTGAGATGAGGCCTCTTTTTTCCATATAGCCAGCATATTATCTGGTGTTTCATGGGCGGTCGTGTGTTTGCAGAATCTCACTCGTGCAGACATTTTTAAATCCCCCCCCGCCCCCATCATACGTGTTTGTGAAACCTTTGTGGACATGTGTTTGATTTAACATACCAAAGGAGAGTCCATAATGTGTTCACCTTCCCCTTTGGGGCAGAAAAGCTCTGGTTCAGAGTGCTGTGGGACGACAGCCGAGGTGTCCTGCATTAGAGCAGCTCCACGGTGGGACTGCACCACTCGGACCACTCCTAACTCTCCTGTTCCCTCTGCTGGGAAAGGCAGATATTGCACACGCTGAACAGAGTGCCAGAGACAGAGCGGAGTAATGACTTTTATTTTAGGTATCATCTCTGCATTTCAAGACGGAGATCATCCACGTTGCGCTCTGGCTGACTTCCATCCTGCTGCTCTCTCTGGGAAGGCAAGGGGCAGGTGAGCGCCTCGCTGACACCCCTCTGGATGAAATATCAATGTGAATGACTCATTCTCAAGTTTGGTGTCAATCATCATTGCAAATGCCAAACCCATTATCACCAGATCCTTTCAAGAAGTCGTTTTGTCCATCTGGTGGCAGAAGCAGCAGATTTTCACAACAGCATTCAGATCATTGGAAGAAGCTCGTTTCTCCCTCAGGGTGAAGGAACCAGATTTTCAATCTACCTCATAAATGACCTTGTAAACATTCAGTTTTCAGTTTTTGTGGCATGCACCTATTTTTTTTAGCTCAGTTTATTTGGTGTGTGTGGGAGCAAAGGTGGTGAAACCTTACATTGAACCTCATCAACATGGATGGTGTCTGTACTAGTGCAGCAGGAAGACAAGCCAGAATAAACATACAGGATTTATATTTCCGAGCTCGAAGAATATTGAGCATCAGCTGTCTGTCTGTCGTTTGCACCTGTGAAGTAAATAAGCTTTACCTTTTGTTCTTTTGGCCACAGCTTCCTCAAGATGTGACAAAAGATTGTTGTGACAAGTGCTGCACACTCCAGCAGAGGACCAGTTTGTCTCCGAGCTGCTTGTGTCGACTGTTTTGATAAAAGCCAGCCTACTTTGCTGTTTGTGTTTCTGTTTTCATTTTCCTTTTTTGTATTGAATAGCACAACAGGCAAGTTCATTATGCGTGTGACTCATCCCACTAGCCCACACCCCCTCCCCATCTGCTGCTGTGCGCTGGAAAGCAGAGGAACCGCCATTGATCACTTCTTCCCTCACACATGCACGCACACACCCCACCTTCCACGTCACTATCGATCGACATGTTTAATGTTTTTGTGGGGAATAGCTGGCATTTCCTTTTGTGTCATTTTACATCTGTTCCCCACCGTTTGCTGACATTAGAATAAATCACAGGGCAGAAATGTAGAAAATATAAAGTAAAGCATAATCCAGCAAATTATTCCAACAATGTCAGACTGTTCAGGCAGAGCTGGAGCAGCAGCGATGCCAGTCAGGGGATACAGACGGAGCTGTGAGCCTTATTCTATGGATGCAGCTGAGTTGTGTGACTAACAGCTGAGCTGCTGCAGGACGGCTGGCTGCGATGCACAGTTCCTTGATAAAACATTTTCTCACTCCCTCACTCTCAGGACTCGATTCATAAATTGTGTTTAATAGTTAAATGCTTGTAAAGATGCCCTGAAGTTGATATTTACACGTCTTCTCTGCCTCTCATGAACTCATTCTCACAGCACTTCTTTTGGTTACACGGTGAGTCGAGAGCTAACGTTTCTGAGAACATGTTTGATACGAACACGACGACTTTCCGGACTCTGGTCCAGCTCGCTCTATGTTGTTCACTTTGGCTTCGGGATGTTTTTGGTTCAGGTGAGACAAAGACGGAGAGACGAGGAGTTGGCAGCAGTGCTTCGCCTGTTTGCTGGCATACAGACCGTAGTGCTACAGCTACATGGACGATGAGATAAAGTCCATTAGAACCTCTGATAGGTTCTTGTTGGTCCTTGTCAGTTGTGCCTGACACAGTGACTCTGTAACAGCAGCACAGAAGGAGAACCTGGGCTTTCACAACAAGGAAAAGTGTTTCTGTAGTTTCTGGGTTTGTGCTGTGTGGTCCATTCACATCTCTGGACAAACAGTGTACAGAACCTGGACTTGTTCCGGTAGTCTCATGGACTGAGCTGATAAAGAAGGTTGGTAGAGATGGGACGTATTCATGTTGCTGTGATGTGCATCAGTACAACAGCAGCACTGCCATTCATCTGAATGGCGCCTTTGGCTGATGTGAAGCAGCCATATTTGTTTTCAGTACCAAGTGGAACACATCAGCCTGTTCTGAAAAACCCAACTTTGGCATCAAAGGCTGGAGGTGCTGTAAAGGTGCAGTCCCACGTCTGCACGGCCGATCATCAGAGCTCTGTTGAGGAAACAGCTGCCTGCTGCTGAGATGATGCTGATGAGAGCAGGACCAAAGTTCACCAGAACTTTGGCCCAGAAACCACAGCGATAAGCTGAAGAAGCTGAAATGCTCTCTGTGGACCTTTCTTCATCTGATTGACTCTTCATACAGATACATTGATTGAGAAAAGCTTCAGCCCAATGGGAATATTGATTCTGAAACGTTGTTCTGTTTAGTTCTGGTGAAGGCTGGACCCGTCAAACTTGAGACTTTAAGTACTTTTTATTGAAGAATAAATGATGATTTAATGGGTCACAGAAAAGCTGAGACTTCATCAGGAAGCAGAGGCTGAATCTGCGAGAGCTCGTCAGACATTATAACCAATTAAACATGTCGTGTTTATCTTGTGACAGTACCGCAGAACATTGCTGACCCGGCGGAGCAGGACAAAATAAGCACAAAACAAGAACTTGTAGAATATTTGGAGCTCACCGTGTCTCTGGTAAAGGACATGGCGGGTTTGTTAAGCAGAGTTTGTACTGACAGCGTGTTTCAGGGCTCGTGATGCGTCCTGTAGCGCCAACATGGCAGCGAGCGCGCTGAGCGAGGGCTAATGAAGCACGTCATGCTACGACTTGTTTGTTGCTCGAAACCACAAGAAGACTCACACACTTCTCATTTTCCATGACTAGTGCACAAGCCAAGTCTGTCTGGACCGAACGCACCAGCTTTAGGGGTTCTGGAGTACCGGAATAGTTTTTTTTAGAAACGGTGACGTTGACCTGAAGCAAAGCTGTTTTGGTTGTTTTTCCAGTGTTACACCAGATGAGAAGGTTCCAGAAGAGCTTCTGTCCAGCTTTTTGAGAATATATATGTATGCATGAATCCAGATCGAGGTATTGATGTCAGCTGGTGAAAGGTTCTGTGTTTTTTCTTGGTGTGATGTATGTCAAACCTAATTATCGGCCTTAGTATGTGTAATTACAATATGTATATTACATTATATTATAAGCTGGAAATCCACTTTATTAAGAGTGAACTAGATGCAATCGGCACGGCAGTGAGGACGACCGACGTCAGCATGACTGAGAAGAAAGCTGTGGTCACTTACTGAGCACACATGGAGGATTTTAACCCTGAACTTAGAGGCTCGTTTTAGTTTTAGCTTTTTAATGAAGCGGCCTGAGGTAAGAGGAAAAGAGACGAATGTGACATGTCGGTGTGGATTAAACACTTGAATGCTGAGCTAACGTTGTGGTGAGGAGATGCTGAGGGTGAATCATGTATGTGGAGTCCTGTTGTGAGAACAACGTGTTGCTTTCTGTCTTTCTCGCATGTAGGTGGTCCTGGACATGACATTTGGAGGTGGTGGTCATACCAGAGCGATCCTGAATGCGGTTCCCGAAGCCACCGTTCTGGCCTTAGACCGAGATCCGACAGCAGTTTCTCTGGCCCGGCAGTTAGCCCAGGAACATCCGTAAGTGATTTATTGAAAAAGATCAACTGGACCAGAACACGAGTTAGCGCTTAAAGCTCCACGCCGTCTAGACCAGTGTTTACATCACGCCTCATGTCTGACCGTGCATTCTGATTGGCTGACAGCTGGACAGTGTCGAGCGCTGTTTGGTTTGTGGCCATTATTTCTTTAGAGAAAGCGGCCGTGGCTTTGACACACAGTCGTGTTGCAGTCTGTGTTTCTCACTTCTTCCCGGAGCCGATCAGATGCTGCCTGCCAAGATACAGCCCCTGAGTCTCAGCGTCCAATCAGATCCGTTCTTCCCTCTTAACTTAAAGCTTTCTCCCCCCACGCAAAGCTGGTGGGCCCAGCATGTCATTTGTCAGAGTGAGGGCCCACGCAGGCAGTGTGAGGGAGATGCTGCCTCCCACAGCGGATCTATAAGTTATCTGGGGTGGGTGGGTGCTGGGGGGAGAACAGGGAGACACGAGGACACAGCGCCAGGGTGAGAGGGAGTGTGTGCATGAGCAAGGCGCGGGAGGATGAAAATGAGATGTTCCTAAGACCGTGGCGTGGGAAGGAATCCTTTTACGTAGATTCTGGGGAAACCTCTCTCAAGGGAATCTGCCGGAGAAATGTGCCTGTGAGCAGGGAATGACAATTAAGAGAGAGAGAGGATGAGAACACTGTATTCTGTCAGCAGCAATATACCCCCGCTGTAAACTCTTCCACGCCTACTCCTGATGCAAGTTGAGAGAAATCTAGCAATTAACCAATATTATTGGAAGCCTGAGTGAAGACCCGGCAGCCTACGCAGTCCATCCACACACCAGGGCCAGAGGATTTCTCTCCTCTGTTCTCCACGTCTTGAGGAAAGCAGAGCCTCGATGCAAACGGTTCTGTGTTGGTGTCACTCAGCGAACACGGTTTCACAGCAGAGGAGAATAATTTAACGTCCAAACGCTTTAACAGCGTCTGATTCCAGTAGCGGCTCTTCCCTGAATAACGTCCACCGTGTCTTTGGTGGGATTCGTCTGCTGCAGGCTCAGCCTCACTGTTCTCTGCACCGTTCTTCTTGTTGCTATGACTTCCCTTCGCTCGCAGCACATTTATTAACATAACATTTATTGAGCCCACAATAAATGTTATGAACCTGAAAAGAAGAAAAAGGCGAGTCCGGATGGGGTCCAGACTGAGCTGTTGGAGGCTGTCACACCAGGACAGGAGCTCTGTGTCCGGTTTCCCTTCACCTGTTGCTTCTCTGTCTGTGTTTGGACATTTCGGGTGGTTTAGCATCACACCTCTCTCTCCTAAGGCTGATTTCTTAGTTTCTCAGCGCTGCCGTGTTGTGTGTGTTTAGTATTGTTTTACTTTTTGTCTTTTCTTGCGTTTGTGTTGTTTAGATTCATCACATCTACGGATAAGATTTTGGCTTGAATGAAATGGGAAGAAATAATGTGAGACCTTGCTGACAGTCTGACAGGATCACCTGAATGAAGCAGCTGTGGTTTGATTTGCTGGAGGTTGCTTAAAGGGAACTGTTGGGTTTTTCTCTATAAGCTTCTGACCTTCACGTTTAACGTGACCTGAGAGAGGATTCATATTTTCTTTTTCTTTAGTCATGTAGTTTTTTTTTTTCCCTGCGATGGACTGGTTACCTGTCCAGGTGTCCCCTGCCTTCGCCCTAAGTCGGCTGGGATAGGCTCCAGCCCCCCGCGACCGCGGGAGTCGAACCCACGACGTCTGGAGCTGTAACCTGTCGATGGGTCGCCGCTCGGCCAGGTGAGCTGTAGGGACGCCCACTGTTCTTCTATTGTCTTAAATAAAAGCAGTCTGCGTTAACCTTTGCTGTTTTCAATGTGCGGTTATGTTGTCCCAGGGTTCTTTGGTTTAGTTTTAATCTAAGTGGGTGTGAGTCTGACCTGATGTGGAAGCAGCAGCGGCTGTGGCGGCGCCTCCATGATGACTGAAGACATTCTGCTGTGACTCCACCTGTGAGACCTTGTGTCAGTGTCCTTCATGCTTTTTATGGATGTTGCTCAGGACGGGGCTGCAGTCGCACACGAACACCTGTAAGCAGCGTGTATGATGGTGGCAGTCTGGAGTCTCCAGTGACTCGTCCCTGCTGATCACATGAACAAAGAAAAGTCCTTCTGGAGGAAAGTTCTCTCCTGACCAGATCCTTGCTCTCAGATGGACGTCGCTTTGGATAAAAGCGTCTGTTGAATGAAATTGTAGAAGTTCTGTGGTCAGATGAAACAAGAAGATGCTGAGGCCTTTAACCCCAAGAACACCCAATCTGCTCTCAAGCGTGGTGGCGGCAGCATCATGGTGGCGGCAGCATCCTGCTCTGCGGCTGTTTGGATGCCAGTGAACCGCTGCTTTCACAGAGTAAATGTTGAAAAAGGAGGATTAGCTCCACATTCCTCAGGAAAATTATAAATCATCAGGCAAAAACACAACTGAGGCTTCCAACAAGAAAATGTCCCTGAACACACATCAGAGTGCTGCAGACATGGCTGAGTGGGGTAGAATTCATGTTTAGGGGTTGGGTTTGGACCGGCCTTGCCAAAGTCCTGACTTCAAACCCCGTCGACAGTCTGTTGACTGAAGACTCAAGCATGCGTCAGAAAGCCAGCAACTGTCGCTGAGCTGCATTAATTCTGTCAAGAGCTGCAGTCGAAGATAGAACCAGAACCTTTGGACGGTGAAGTGTTTTCAACAAGGCGGCTGTTTGGTGCTGGACGCCTGCTAGTCTCACAGAACCAGACCATCCTACAGCGCCGACTGGTCTGACCTTGGTATTGTTCTGCCAGAGGAAAAGAAATTAAGCAAAGCTAAGCGAAGGATGCAGCAGGAGTGTTCTATGAAAGCAGCGAAGGGAACATCTGGACGCAGGGAGGCAGGCAGGTCATTAGGATGGCTACAGGACCTGGCAGGACTCACTGCATGATCCCAATCCACTGTAGAAGTGGAATTTTTAAACGTGGTACGTTGGTAGTTTTTACTCCAGTGGGTCCGGTTCCGTGTCTGCCGTCAGCTCCAGCAGCACCAGGACGTGGAGGTCCTAAACGTAGCCAGCAGCTGCTCCTCCTGCGGCCTCGACAGCGTGCACACCCAGCGTGCACACCCAGCGTGCACGCCCAGCGTGCACACCCAGCGTGCACACCCAGCGTGCACACCCAGCGTGCACACCCAGCGTGCACAGCCAGCGGCCGCCGTCCGGCTGTCTGGATCAGAGCAGACTCACCTTTTACTTTAAAACAAACAACATGGCCAGAGTCTACTTTGACTCTTCACTTCATTTTTTTAAAAGGCCTAAAAAAGACTGACTTCACTCCAGTCCTCTGACCGTCCGTTCACTACAAACAGAATCTAAACGTGTAGTTTTTTCCTCTTCTCCTGCGGCAGAGCTCCGACCCCCATACGGCACCGTCAGAGACCTTCGACGGTCCTGAGATCAGGGCCCAAGTGTTCCCGGGACCAGGCCTTCCCTTCAGTTCCTCGCTGTCTGTTGAGATTTTTCCAAAGTTAAAGTTCAAAAGTTAAAACTACACCTTTCCTTAAGCCCGTACGTGCTGCTATCAGAACCAGCTCAGGTGTTTCTGCAGGTGTGTGCATCGTCTGCCTTTATATTAACCATATCAGTGGTTCTAATGAGAATTATTCCAGGTGTTGTAATTCCTGTCTTCAGTCTCTTTTTGTCTTCACCCTTTAGATCAAATACTTCACGTGTAAAGTGCTGCATAAATTAGATTGAATCAAGTGAACTGCACGTCTCATACAGTATTCTTCTTCTTCTTCACGTAGTCGGTTGGATTTAGTTTTTCTTGGAAAAATCCAAGCCACGTGTTCCAGTCAGTGTTGCATTCGTTCAGCTCTAACTAGCCAATAACAACCTCAATCCATCAATCAGTCACACATCACAGGTGTACACGTCCATATCTGGAAGCTTCTGTCTTTTATAAGCAGAAATAAACGTGATGAAATTAAAACCCAAACCCGGAGAATGAGCAGGGAAGCAGGTACTGAACAGCTGTAAGCCACGGAGCAGGAGGCAGCAGCCATTTGGTCAGAATCCAGTGCCGTCTAAAGAGGACGTAGGAAACCGTCTGCAGGTCAGCTGAGGTAATTTAGAAAAAAAATGCATTTTTAAAGAGCAGCCTCTCTGTGTTTGTATCCGTCCTTTTTTCACTGGACTGTAGATATTTTCATCACTGCTCCCCTGCTGAAAGCAATCAATCAGCATCTTGTCTTAGGCTTCAGTGACGCAGGTAAAGGAACTGAGCAGGTCAACACGAGGGAATATTTCAGGCTTGATTTGTGAAGAGGCAGCATCATGTTGAATGAGCTTGCACTCAAACTGAGGCTGCAGTGAAGGTTCCTGATGTCCTCACAGAGTGTACTCTTATTCCAGATGGACGAGAACGAGTGAATGGAGGAAGTGTTTAGTGAGGGAGAGGTTCATGAGGACACGTCGACGCTTTGTATGCAGAGTAAACAATTTAAAGCAGACAGAGACGTGGCAGGACGATGCACGACACCAGATTATGATTATCTGTTTTGCTTGTGTTACAACTTACAGCAGCTAAAAGTGTGAAGATGGGTGTTATCAGGGTATCACCAGCACTCAGCAAAAGGACTACATGGATTATTAATTTTGTGTCTGTTAATGCTTTCAGGGTTCGAAGCAGCCTGTAGACACTTTGGTGCATCCTCTGGTCCTGATGCTTCTGTAGTCATTTCTTCTAGTTGCAGGATGACATGGAAACACCTGGAGCGTGATTCAAACCGGACTTGCTGTGTGTTCAGGCAGAACATGAGGGGAATTTAGAGAGGACACGATTGCATACCAAGTGGAATGGAAAGACACGATTAGATGTAAATTCGCACAGGGCAGTGCAACCTGACACGAAGGCCTCGTGAGTTGGAAATGTTTCACCTTCAGCTGAAAAAAACCCTGAGTCTGCTGTGGACAGGGACGAGAGAGAGGGAGGTACCCGACAAACCAAGTCTGAACT